CCTCACGCGGAAAAAAACTTCAGTTTCATGTCCATGACCCCGGATGGCATTGATGGACTGTACCACCTGCCCACCTTTATCATCCGTGAAGATGTCATGGAACTCCACACGGTGGGCCTTCTGCTCTTGCACCACTCGCACTGACCCGAAGTTCGGCTGTGAAACTCTTCGAATCGCCTTCGAGGCTGTAGTTGAATTCATGTCACTTGTGCTCGTGACCTGTGAAACCGAGGCCTGGCTAGAAGGTGCAGTCGTCTGAGTTCCTGGAGCTTCAACTTGACGAACCCTCCAGCAACCCTTAGAAATATGCCCAGGTCGATCGCACGTCCAGCACACCTCTGAATTTCCTTTGCCCTTTCTTTTAGAGTCTTTGCCGCTCTTTCCCTTCTGCTCTGACTTGCCTCCAGAATTCTGTTTACGAAGTTTTTTCCCTTGCCCTTTTCCTTTGTCCTTCCCTTTCTGTTGCACTTGATCTGGTGTTGGCAGTGTCGTAGGCCAATGCAATCTCTCGGATCTTCTCATTGAATGTCAAGTTGAAATGTGTTTTCAAAGGACCACCCAATCGACTTCAAAAGTACTGCGGCCTTCATATCTCCAAACCTCTCGTATTGGTTGAGTGTCCTTCAAGCTTGAGCACTTGTGGAAGGATGCACAGATTCATGTTGAACTGTGGATAGGCCACTATGCCTTGCAGGGGGTTCGATTCCTGGTTTGAGGCTGACAATTGATCAGGAGTTGTCAAAGTGCTTCATGGCCATTACTAGTTGTCCACGTTCTTGATGATGCCAAGGAGCCTCCCCTGAATCAAACTGCCCAGCAATGAGTACAAGAATCTCGAACGTTCCTGCTCTTTACTGTCCAGCTTGGTCAACTCCTCTTGGAAATTGCCGTCCACCACAACCAAATTTTGTCGAAGACTCCAATCCCAGTCTCTCCACTGCAAAATCTCTTTCTCTCGATCTTCAGCGTGGAAGATGGAAGGTCGTGGCAGCAACCTGGACACGTCCTTCTTGCCCTGCGATGAACTCTTGCCTGACCTGTTGCAATAAGGGCCTGAGCCAGTTCTGCAGTCGCCATCCCTGTAACATCAACACTTGATCCATCCATTTTGAATCTCGAACTTGTAGGGCCAAAGGCCTTAGAACCTTTTCGAATTCAGGGAGTGGCCACCGGTGAAATAGTCCAAAGCCAGGTCCAACAAGGATTTCCTTCAAGTAACCGCTTGCTGTGATTGCGAGACCACGCTACACCAGTTTATGGTGGCTAGGCGCTCGCCGAAGACCCTGGGGCGCGAGCTAGCGAGATAGGGTCCTGTCTCCTCGGTCCTGGAGCCCCCCCCAAACTGTTAGGTGGGGATCACGGCTCCGCCACCATGCGGACCGTTGTACACTGAGCTCAAAAGGCCCGCACATCTTGGTATATGATGTGTTGTCATGCCGTGAACTGTCTGGTCTGTTATGGTCGGTTTTCCGCGGAAATCAATCTTGTATGAGATCCCCGGCCTTGTATGAGATCAAATTTTCAATCTCGAACCAAGATGACTCTCCATCAAAGGCGTCATTTTGACACCTGGTTCTGGTTGTGTGTCATAAGTCCGGAATGTCGAACCTCAGGATCTGGACCACTACTCTTCAGACAGGTGGGCTACTTGGTTGTCTCCTGTCCGTATTGTCGGACAAGCCTGCGCGAAGCAGTTTCGACCGTGGCGAAGCAGGAGACACAAGCTCCGCTACCACTTTGAGGGGTATGTTCCCTCAAGTGGCAGTGAAGTACACTGGACCTGGTCGATAACACCAAGTACGACCCTCTCTGGAGTACCAAGTGTGCAAGCGGCCGCGAGCACACTTTTCTATGGCACGCAGTGCGGTATTGGTTTTCAACCAAAACCATCCACGTTCAGTGAGGCCCACGGGCCGGGCACAACTTGGTGGAACATCTGCGGGCCTGAGGGCCACGGGTCGGGACCGCGACGCAACTTTGCGGGACCGCTGCGGGCTCGAGGGCCACGGGCCGTCAACGTCTTGAGCCAAAAGTGAATCAATTAAGCCGTAAACATGCCGAAGCGTAGATATATACAAAGAGCTACGAACAACGGGTGCTACACACGTATAGCGTAGACACGCCTAGGGGCCCTAGGGCACTAATTACGAAACACAACGGGGGGTTGAATTGGACTGTCAATTATTAGATCCGGAGAAGCCCAGCCCACACTTGCTTCTCAACACAAACACAAGGTGACCCCTGAAGGGCAACCTTTCGTGAAAACACGCATCCAGCCTAGCATCTCGCGAGGAACAATGTATAAAACTATTCAACTAAGGACATCCACGGGTTCGTGTTGCCGCCGCATGTATCTGCCAAAAGTTTCAAGCAACCTCCCAACTGAACCGCGACCAAGTGCGCACCTGTGCAGAATTCGCTGCACCCAACGATCACCGGGAAAATTCGCAAAATACCCTACCAGTTTCCTATTGTTGCAGCCACCGCTGCAGCAACCATGACAGCATACCACCAGAAACCGCGTCTACACCAGCATGTCTCCCTTCCTTCACTGGCACGAGGGCAGCCACGCAAACGCACTTTTCACCAAGGTCGCACCAATCCGCATGCCACAGCCACATCACCGACGTAGTTTTGCCGCCCCGTGCACACATGTTTTCCTTCTAACTCTCCGGTTTCTGCGCAATATGTCGCAGACCGAAAAAGATAGGCCATGTATTCCCCATCCTGTCTCTCAAAACATATTGTGCGGGCAGTTATCGGCGCGAAGCGACCTCAGTAGCACTAGTTTGTGCATCTACCGCTGATGCCCCGTGCAGGATAGCTGCGAAGCTATCCGTTCCCAAGCGGGTTTGCAAAGCAAACTGGAATGGGCAGATCCAGTCGTCAAGTCCCTGAAGAACTGACGGGCCAGGACTCGAGCGATCCGGAGCACAGGCCAAGGCGGCCACACAAAGCTGCGTGAGCGACTGTGGTAAAATCCTTGGTTACTAGTAACGATGCCAGGAGCTACTAGTAGCGTCCTTGCTCCTAGTAGCGATGCCCTTGTTACTAGTAGTTTCTTGTTAGGAGTTAGATTAGATGTTTAATCGATGCTGGAGCAAGACATCACGGGGAAGGCGAGCAGGTGGATTGCTGGGCGGCACTTTCTTCGAGTGGTAAGGCTGCGTGCTCCAATCACCGCACTTTCCAATGTTCGACGTTGTGTGCACAAACAAAGCCCCGTGCAGGCTTGAGCTAGCCCAAACCAATCTGCCATGAGAGGCCGCCATGGTTTCGCATCTGACGCGGGTTTCTCCGCCCAGTGTGTCTGATGAGTTTGTCCAAACGTCGTTGTCCCAGTTTAGCTAGCCGCTGCTTGCTCAGCCGGCTCCCGCGGGCTGACGTGCCAGAATTCCCGAAATGTTGCTCATTGCAGTTGGCCTTTGGTGGGCAAGAAAAAGTGTCAAGAGAAACCTGAACGCTGTGTTCTTCGCCCCAGGAAGCTGTCAAACAGCCAGGAATGAGGTGAGACGCGAGACTGTAGGATGAGAGAGGCAAACCAGTGAAAGGTAGTTGCCAGGTGTGAGCAAGGGCGGAGCACCCGGGCCTGAGTTGTTGCAGCGAAAGTCGCTCGCATCGTTTGGCATTCAACGCAGCATGGCGCCATGCGCCACGCAGGCAGACCGGAAGTGGTTCAACAGTGTTTTCTACGAACGCCTGACTGGGTGTCCAAGCAGGAGTTGGCACATTTCCGGGAAACAAACGCGCTGAACATGTCAATGCCAATGTTGATCCCAGCTGGTATCGAAGTATGAGGCAACCAGCAGTCTGGATTGTGTTCCGGCTAGCACTCAACTCACAGAGCGTCTAGTTGGCGACATCATCAAAGCTGCGGCTTTCTCAAATGTGCGGATGACATACCTACCTAGTTCGGTGGCAGGCATACAAACAGAAACCACTTATCACGAGCACATATACAGATTCGGGATTCCAAATCACACCAGCGCAGGAAGAAATGCAACAGGGAGGACTAGGCAGCCAGTCTGTGAGCAGCAATCAGATCGGTGTGATGCCAATGCCGCTGCAAGCCAAAAATAGCCGAATCTACCAAACAGAACAAGCCCAAGATTGCTGGCACCAGGCGCTTGCGATGAGACGTCACTCGTTTGCCGTCAAGGTCATCGTTCAACCCAGCACGCAAATTTCAAGATTGTGACTACCATGTTGCAGCTTAAACGTGTCCTGTCTATACATATGTCATATGTGTATGTATATATATATATATACAGTATAAAGAGATGCCAAAGGCAAGTGTAGAGAAAAGCATGTACACTCAGGCTAGGGGTAGTACTGAGACCTCAAAACGCCTTGTTTGGATAATGTGGCAGCAGCCGGCAGCCAAGGCAGCCAAGGCAGCCAACTCTTGAATGCATACCACCAGCGGCATTGTCAGCTCTTGCAAAACAGAACCTCAAGGAGGGAGCACCTTGCGTGGGAAAGGATGCCAACGCCAGGCACACGCCAATTCCCTCAAGCAAAGCGGTGACAAAAAGAGAAGCAACGGCCACTGAGCATAAAGTAAAAGAAGCGACCCTGGAGCGACCGTTCGAAACCCTGCGTAGATGGCCAAGAGACACACATGGCTTGAGACTCTCCAAGGTCTCTTGCAATTTTGGATTTTCTCCAACATCCGACACTGACTGGATGTATTTGGCGACCTGGCAGGCCAAACATAGTACATCTTGAGCTAGGAATCATGTGAAGTCGCTCTGCGCCTTCGGATTTCGTGCCAGGCGGTCGAAGGGGTTGAAGCCCTTTGGCAACAAAGGTTGTGCTTGGGAGCCCATTCCAACTAAAACCTAATGACAAATGGTCTTGAGCCACTGTCTACATCATTTCTGGCGACTTCACCCAGTGATCTTCGCAATCCGTGGGCGATCTTTGCATCAATTCCTTCAGGAATGCCAATTAAAACCTCAATCTTGCAATCGAGCCGAAACCAGTGGTTGCACCTTATTTCCCGCAAACCATGCTGTGAGAGCATCAGCAGCTTCTTTGCCACGTACGGATGTCTGTTCAAGTATCTACATGTATCTACATGGAGGATGTCTGTAGGCTCTTACCATATTGGATGTCTTCATGCTGAGTGACTTCTGCCAACCTCCAAAGAGTGAAACTGAAAATGTCCATCAGGCTTCCAGCTGTGCATCTCTTCCATTTCCATCTGGACTCATGGCCTGTCGGTGGACGTTCCAAGACGGGGTACAAGCTCTCCATGAGTTGAAAAGCTCCAACAGCCAACAAATCTGCCCCTTCCCAAATGATGCACCTCCTCCAAGCGATCCTCCGGAACGGAGATGCAAGGGGCATCCAGCAGGCTGCCGCCATTCAGGAGTGCCTCTACGTCCTGCCGTCAAGAAAAGGGAGAGAGAACAACGTTCACTGCTGTTTAGTGTTCAAGAAAAAATATACAACTACTACATTGATACTTGTAGATCTTAATGGGAGTCCTAGATCCACATCCTAATATGGATTCCAGATCATGGGAGTCCTACATCAAAAGCTACAAGCTCAACATGCCAAATGGCTAGGCTCAACAAGGATTTGAAAGAATCCTCTGACCAAAGTGCCCAGCATTTCGCCACACTCCTGATTCTTGGCAGCAGCTTGCTGCGGTGAAGAGGAGCCTATCAGAAGGGGCACGGTTCATTTTCAAGAGGTCGAACATGTCCTTGTAGAAACTAGTAGCGTCCTTGTTCCTAGTAGCGATGCCAGGAGCCCCTAGTAGCTTCTTGCTCCTAGTAGGAAGGCCAGGAGCCTCTAGTAGCGTCCTTGCTCCTAGTAGCTAAATCTGATGCATCCTATTGCACATTCCTGCCAAACCTCATGTGCACATGTCAGGTCCCTTCTTTGATAGTTCCGGTAGATCAACAGGTCTATTCACACTCACATTCCAGTCGTCCTTTCAGCTTCAAAACAGGCTCAATATCTCTCAATGTTCGAAACCTCTGGCACGCACCTCCGCTTGTCGGCACACAGTGGTAAAAGCAGAAACGGTTTGCTGAGATCGTGCTCGCTCCTGACAGGGCTTTATCACCGTGTATGTATATACATAACAATAAATATATATATATATACATATATATAGCCACCCTGAAACTGCGGACGAAGCTAAAACGGTTTTCCGTAGAAATTCATGCGATGGGGCCGTGGGCTGCAATTAACATGTCACATCACATCCGCAAAAACCTTTCAAAAATCACCAAGCCACGTGGGAAGATGGGATCGTTCACCACGGTGCAGCTATCTGAGCATTTGTTTTGAACGTACTGGTTGTCGCTGGCAGGTGCCAGCGCACACCTGAGATGCGTGCTGAGACAGGCTGTGCTGGGAATGAACAAGGACCAAAACTCCTCACTTGAACAGCTTCACAGAGACTTGACTAAACAGTTTTGAAGTGCTCTTTGGACATGCAAGGCCTAGTAAACTCCTGCAACAGTCAAGCTTTGATGTTGTCAACAAGAGTCATGCTTGCAATGCAAAAACTGTATCCCTTTGTCTCCAGCACCAAGCAACTTGTAAAACGATTTCTTTGAGTCTGAGATTTCGCTAGGCCGCCTGGAACAAGTGCAGTTTCTTCTATGATGCGGCCGCAGAGAACTCAATAGAAGGAGAAACCACAATGTGTGTGTGTGTGTGCGCTCTTACAGCCATTTCAAGCACAACAAAGTGGTGACAAACCATGATGAAACAAGGGCCTTTGCTCTCGAATGCAGCAATTGCATGTGCACTCCTTTTCAGGAAGGACCTGCCACAAAGGCTGCAGCTGGTTGTTTCTGTCTTCTGCGTGACTCACTACACCAACCTGCTATCATTCATGGGCGTCAAGGCCAAACATGCTCTTTGCAACACTGAAAGAAGGGTTCCAAAGCTTTCCCCATAGTAACGAGGAGTAGAGGTCCAAGACCCAAGAGACCCAAGGGATCCAAGCAGGTTCTTTCACAAATCCAGCGATGGCTGATTTCCATCATGTGAGGTTTGCTCCGATTACCACGTCCTACTCCACTACAACAGTGGACATCACCCCTGCACTTCTACCCAAAGGAGGGTCGTCTTCACATCCAATGACACCGTCCACACAGGATAATAGGAAAACACAACACTTTTGGGTTACACATGTAGCAATTAGAACTACAGTAAGTCAACAAAAACACCGTGTGTGGGTTAATCATGTTCTAGTTTCATGATGCTCCACGTTTCATCTAAATCTGTCCTAAGAAAAACAATAAAACAGAAATGGATCAGTCGAATCACACAGGGAGATAAAATAGATCGATTGATAATGTAGGACTAAATCAATAGATCAAGTAACTTAAAGTGATAATAATGTTAGTAATAAATAAAGTATGCAATAAAGTAAGACGTAAACAAATTGGCACCTTACAAACCAATAAAGAAGACGTTTTGGTGTGGAGATCTTGAAGCATCAACTAATTGACAAGATTTGGGTTCAATGACAGGATGTGAAAAAGAAAAAACATACACTGAACAAACTGACCAAGCTGACAAACTGTTCTACCGGCAAGCTTTCCTGGTGAGTCTAGCCATGTCATTCCTTGGTCCCGACCATCGACCGCGGCCTTGGTGTACTTCGAGAACAAGCCCTTGACACGACCATCCACTGGTGACAGGCACAGCAAAAGGAAAACCTGGGGCAACAGGTCAAGTGGAAGTGTCCTGTCCTTGAAAAAATACTATGCTGTTTCCTCCCAGTGCCACAGATAAAGTTTCGCATCTACTAGCCAATGATTTGACCCACATGGTTCGTTTCCACCTAGTTGATCAAACCAGGCGCCAGACTGGCAGTATTCGCATGCCCGATTGACCTGCGGGCAAATGCGGCTTTCTCAGCCATCCTCAAAAAATAACGGTTCTTCTTGGCAAAAAAATGATCATGTGGATTGGCATTCTACAAATTGGGCATTGTAAGATGACAAAATCAAACACCTTCTAAAGAAAAAATGCAAAACAAACAAACGGTCAATGCCACCAAGAAACAATATGTACCGTCATTGTTTGAAACACGGCAACTTGAATCTGTGAAATTTAAGAACACAACCTAGCGATTCCATGAGTTCAAGTAACAAAAACTATCAACCAGCGCAACCCATGAACTGTGCAGCCACAAGACTGGAAAGCATTGAACGTCTTCTAAAGAGCAATTTTGTCCAAACAAAACCCAAACACGTCCCGTCCATTGCATCCCATGGACAATTCGACAATTCCTTGAAATTCCACGCCTTTGTCTCGGCCGAGGCCGTGCAGGAAATCCTGCTGGTTCGCTATCTAAGAAGGCTGAAGGGTTTGATCAGCTCGAGCCACATAGCCCGTAGGCACGGGCTGCGGGTTAGGGGCCTGTGCCCAAATGCACGCTTGCACCTTTGATTGAATGGGGGTAAGTTTCGCAATTGGAACAACCGTCTCACCACCAACTATTTGTCCTTTGCTGCCTTTCAATCAATATCTTCCTTTTGGGTAGCTATGCCAACTCAAGTTCCGGAGGACCCGCATGAACCTTTTGGAAGTCAGTGACCCAAAAACAATGCAATGGCATAAGACAATCTGGGTTTCAGATCACAAATGGGTTTAATCTGAATTCAAGCCTTTTTACCTGACTGTTATTGTCTGACTTCCCTGTAGCTTGCATTTGATTGTGTTTCCTTTGGGTTAAAATCCGGTTTTATCCTATTGCGTTTCATCATCCAATCAGTCATGAGCTGAGATTGGAAGGTTTGCTATGTCCCATGTCTTTCTGTGGCCGAGGGGCCTCACATTCAGGTTTAGCCTGATTCCAAGAGAAGTATCAGGGTTCAGACAAGGTAAAAATCCAAGTTTGAGCCACAGTGGTTTTGTCAAGGAGGAGCTTAGGTTTGAATTGAGGCGTGCTGGCTATATCAATAGCAAGACTAGATTCAATTCTAAGCCCATATCTTTGGCCTTCAACCCCAGCCTGTGGATCTCCAGCCGAGGTTCTGGTCATGCTGTGTCGTCGAGGGACGACGCAGATTGTGCAGCACCAGCAGCAGAGGTTGGGAGTTGTGCACAAAGCGGCACCAGATGTGGCTGAAGCAGAGCAACCCGAAGCAGAGGTTGCCAGAGCCCATCCTTTGCCAGCAGTGAGGGGTGATGATGGTGAGTCTGCAGCTGTCCCAAAAAAACAAAGGTGGTGCAAAGCGAAGACCGTGGGAACATGTGGCCACGGACCAAGTTACTGACAATGAAAAGCGCGAGCGCAGGCTTTTGCAAAATGCAGCTTGGGCCTAAAGTGGCCAGTAGTGCATAGCTTACCTACATGCTTGAGCGACTGTGCATGCGTGTGCCAAGTTCAGACACTCCTCCTTCGCTCAAGCACCCTGTCCATATCCGGATCGGTTGCCCGGTTGGGCAACTTGCTGCAAAATGCAGAACTCGTCCTGAAGGTGTCATCCGTAGCTTGTGCAGCTGTCGAGAACAGCTTTGCCACCAGAGTCATAGAAAGGCCATGAAAGACAGTGAAAGACACTGGGAGTCAAGTATGTCGAAAGGCTCTCAAGGAGCCATGTAGGACTGTTGAGAGGCGCACAGGCATGTGTTGCAATGACGACTGTGCTCGGTAAGTGGACCACCTGCAGTCTCTGACAACTCCGCCAAGCAGCCTCACCCACGATGCGAATTCCTGCTTCTACCTGAACGTGCCTGACTTCTGTGTGGAACGAAAAGGCTTGTGGCAGTATCCTGTCCGTAGCGCTGCATGGGACTCGAATGGCTTTGCCCCGCCCTTGAGCTGCCCTTTGTGTTCCGCTTCCACAAAACACTGACGGACAATCGCATTGAAGCAGTTGTTATCGCGCAGGGTGTTCCAAATGGGATCAACCAACACTTCATGGGTGTCCTTGTGGACAAATTGCAGCTCGCAACCAAAGGTGCAGCTCTCTCCAAGATAGGGGAGCTGCTCCAGCACTGCATTCTCGAACTCATAGAGCCTATCGAATTCTTGTAGTTCGATTGTCAGCTGGATTTCCTCACCAGCGAAGGTGGTCAAGATGAGATGTAGTACAAGTGACCTTTCCTCACTCCCTTGAGAGCTACACAGAGACATGGCATCTTCAACCATCCCAGGGATTGACCACTGGAACCTAGGGTAGTCTTGAGCCTGAAGGCACTGACAGTAGCGTGTAGGCGATTGCTGAGCCTACAGAAATAGAGAGCTGTGATACTTACACTTGGGGACGGCTACTCGGGCAGCCGCCCTGATGCAATCCTACCGCCTGAGGCATCGTACTTACGTGTGATGGCTGGGGGGAACCATCCAATCACTCCCATTCGGGGGCAGATAATGCAGCCACCAGGGTATATTGAGTGCATGACAATCCTCAAAGGCATTGTAGGCTGCATAAGGGCGCCTCCATGTAGTTTTTTGGCTCCTCCTGTAGGCAAGGCACGTGAGCCTGCTACACCCCCCAAAAGCCCTATGTCCTATGTAACGCAATTGCCTAGGGAGGGAAAGACTGTGTAGGGTAATACATCCCACAAAAGCCTCCGCTCTAATTTCTCTCAGACAGGGTGGCAGGTATCACCGTACGCAGGCTTTGACAGTGCGAAAAGGTGTGCATGTGCAGCAAATCTAGTTTGGTCCTGGAGATATCCACTTGAGTGAGTTGTTTACAGTTTTCATAGGCCCTTTGACCAAGAAAAACCGTCTCCTCTCCCAGAGTGACATATCTGATCCCCGACGAATGAAAGCAGCCAGGTGATAGGCCTGCAGGGGGGGACGCCTGAATGACTGTGTCTGTCATCGCACATACACGTGGGAGGGCAAGCTGTCTCAACTTTGCGCAACTTTCAAAGGCACAAGGTGCTACTACCGCCCCATTAGCAAGTCGGCAAGGTGTTTCTGTGATAATGCCCACTTTTTCTAGGGCACAGCATTCTGAGAAAAGTCTAACACCATAAAAGATGCATCCTGGCATTTCGGCCACGACCAGGGCGTAGCACCCTTGAAAGGATGCATATTTTAAGGCAACGACTGTGTCAGGTAGCTTAACCACTCGGAGCGACTGGCAATACCTCCACGCTTGCCTGTCAATCGTGTGGATACCGGGCTCCACTATAACATGCCTAAGCCTCATTAGTGGGAAGAAGGCCTTGGCAGGGAGTACCCCTGTGTCATTGGCGGGGACCCAAATGGCTTTGGGGAGAGCTTCGTACACACTTCTCTGAATTTGCTCTTTATAGCTGTACGACTGAAAGCAGTTTTGCACAACTAGGTGGAAGCGCGTGTGATTCCACAGCTCATCCTGGATTGGGTCACACAAGGCGTGGTGGGTGACTGCATCTTAAAGGGTCAGCTCACACCCAAAGGTGTCCAGTTGGCCGACAGCAGGCAAGTGTTCTGCCTACATAGTCCTCGAGCATTTCCCAGTTGTGATGGGTGCTTATTGGCACTTCAATTGTAATCTCGTTACCAGCCATGGTAGTGAGAAGGAGTGTACATAGGCTGGCGCCAGCAAGATCTTCTTCTTCACTGCGTGGCAGCGGCGCAGCGCCGTCCATCACTAGAGAGCAGGATGGCTGCCTGCGACGGGTCCTCACCTATAGCTGGTTTGAGCCAACTGCAGGGGAGAGATGAGTTTCTGTTGTTTGCATACTGCACAGAGTATCGACGCATTCCTGTGACAGGGTCATCCCAGTAGTCTCCAACTAACCACTGGAGAACTCAAGACTAACTACTGCGGTCAGGACTACCTCCGTGGTGGGTGTCAGAGCAGCAACTGCCAAGGTGGCAGCCCTTGTCACCTTATAAGTCCAGAGGAGCAAACAGTGTCTAAGGACACCACATGAGAAGGCTTGAGTAAGGTGACCGGCAAAACTCGTGGTCAAGCAATGTCTAAGGACACCACTTGAAGGCAAATAAAATTAGTAGACTCAAGCAATGTCTAAGGACACCACAAGAGTAAGTACGAAAAATGAAATGCCGAACCAGGTAGCAAAAACCTAACTAACCTAACTACACGTTCCGGCACGGAGACAACTTCTTCTCTTTAAGAAGTAGTCTTGAACCTCCTTACTCAACAGCTTTTTACTGTGAGTTTTGAGCCGAGACGTTCTTGAGCCAAAAGGGTATGGATGAGATAAACCATTCCACGTGGCTCCATAAGTTCTCGTTTTTGAAGCAAACAGTCAATAATAGCAGCATGGTTAGGAGCATGACCTGCCTACAGGTGACGTGCACAACCTGCACACACAGCGCCTCCACTCGTGCAAAAAAATACTTGAGGGGGACTTGTGCAGAGTATGATGCATTCGAATCATGCAAGGCAACTCGCACTCACAAAATGGATCCGGCTCCTCCCAAAGCCATCTGACGGCAAGGAGGAGTGGGCTGACTTCATAAAAAGCTGTGCAGAATGGAACTGCAAAGAAGCTTGACCATTCAGACCGGCGTCCACATGCAGGTTCCGAGCAAGCCACACACCTGCCGAACCGAAGTGCTGACACTTCTACCGATACTGAGTTGCCAGACAGTGCCCAGGGCTGCCTTCCAAGGGGTGGTCTTGGATGAGCACATAAAGTACAGATGCACCGTTCTTAGGACCTTTCACTGTTTCACGCAGTTCATGGGGCAAGCAGATCAGGCTCATGTCCCCTCAAGACCCCGTCTTGCACAGGGAGGGGTTGTTCGGCCCCCACCGACTGAAGAGGTAGACGATGTGCACCTAGCAAGAACGAACTGACAGACACTGCTTTCTGCACTCAAGTGGCAAGGTCGTCAGAGGATGGTGCTTGGTGCTTATTTGGGGGCCAGGCGCAGCACAGGTGGTGGTTGTTTGGTTTACCCGGTTTCTGTTGACTCCACGGGAGTGAAGGTGATCAAGGGTCACAATTTCAGAGTCGTTTCACTCTCGCGTTAGATCTCCGGATCTTCACCTTTTTGTTTCACATCTCGGGAGGATGAGCCTGCTCCTGTTGTGTGGGTTGTGGCTGTTTTGGTTGGTGTTTGGTTGTTTGTTGCTGGGCCTTTTTGGTTCTGGCTCGTGTCTTCTCATCCTACTCTGAATTCATTCAAGGTGACTTGTGCCTCTCGGCACACACAGCGCCCGTACCCGTGCCAAAAAAAAAAGGGTCACAATTTCAGAGTGAGAGACCAGTCACCGTCATTCAGAGTTCCCAGAATGAGGTGGTGAACCAGTTTCTTGCTGGAACATCAGCTTGCGATGACATTGACCAGGAAGTTGCTCGGTTTCGATCACTTTTTGGAGGCAACACAGTTGACGTGAAAGTCTGTGAAGGTATCGCGGACGAGTTGACGGGGCATCCGATCTCCGATCGGACAGGTGGTCGATGGAGTCCGAACCGAGATGACACAGCTCGAAGGATTGCAGGTGGGGGACACCCATGCGGAGAAAGCAGGGAGGAACATTGCCATCGAGTATGGTGTTCAGATCTTGACTTCTCGCTGAGTGTTGACACAGAAGAACCCTGTTGACCACGCTTCAGGAGCGAAAAAAAAAATCTCGCAATTTAGTGAGATACCTCAAACTGTCCTTACCACTCCGAGTGGTGGCGGTGACCCAAGTCACTGTCCCTCTCTGGTTGTTCGATCATCACAGATGCATTCCCCTGGCATGAGTC